CTTGTTGTCTCGGATTCTCCAGCATCTGCAGTTCCTACCATCACTGATTCAAAATGAATATGGGTGTTTCTGAAACTGGGAACTGTTTCCCTTGTACAAATGTCACACATTTCTTCTTCTCAGGAAGATGAATCTCACGATATCTTCACAAATAAAATCATCAACCGGAGCAGAAATACAACATTGGCAGAGAGAGAGCAGGTGGCCATCCCAGTGACGTGTAAATTCCAGCGATTAAATAATGGCAGTAAAGAAACCAACTTATTGAAGAGTACTACACAGAAGATATTTGGAGACTACAGCTTTGAGATACAGTTCAGTAAACAGTACAACTCCAGCAGAAGAACAGCCAAGGCCCACACTCCATTTGAAGCTACCAACAAGGACCTTTTATACATAAGTATCACTGTCAAGAGCAATGTGACTACCCTCTCACTCTATGTGGAATCTTGCCAGATGTCAGAATATAACGCTTCAGCAGGAATTACACTTTTACAGCAAGGGTAAGTAAGGCAATTTTTTGTTCATTTTAATGATGGAACTTAACTTTCAGCCTGCCAGAAAACTGCTGGGAGTATCTCATCATCCCATTAATGCACGCTAATTCTCTATTAGAATTCTGATTCTCTATTCTTGTTTAAAGTTGAAAGTTAAAATCAGCCCTTGAGCGGATGCCAGAAATACTCAACACTGCAATTTCTGTCCCTGCTTCAGACAGTCGATAGCATTATAACTGATGTATTAAATAAACCTAAGTAGATAATAACAACTATAGCATTTATGATTGGCATGGACCCTTGCACAATCTAATTTGTACAACCATTGGAGTTTGCTGAAGAAAAGAAGTCATTTGGTCCAAGTCTTTGTTGACTCTTTTCTCACAGAAAGTTAGCCATGTGGAATAGACTGTTGGTAAGTATTTTTATCATGTTTTCAACTGTCTTCGAAGAGGACAGCTTCTTCAAAACAAAGATGCAGATTAAGTAACTGTAAATGCTGGAAACTGAAATAATAACAATGCATAGCATACCCATTAGCATGAATGAAGAGATTAACACTTTCACAACGAAGAAACACAGAAGTTAGCAATTGCACAGAATGTGCAATGTCAACTCTGCAAATTATTTTTCACAAACATTTGGGTACATGCCAAAAATTCAGGCAGCTCCTCCTCACACTAGTCAAGAAGTAGTCTGACATAATGACACCAAATCATATCTGCCAGACAATGTCTCAGACACCATCTCTGGGTATGTCCTGTCTCATTGACAGGATAGACCTGTGAGAGATGTGTTCTATAGTGATGTACAGCTGGCTCTAGGAGACCTCAACATTGACTGTAGACTCCGTGACCTCTCATGGCAACAAATCAAACAAGCAATCTTCTTGCCGGGTACCACTTTTTCGTCAGCTGATGAATCAGTATGCCTCCCACTTGAACACTGAGGAACTATAAACTTAAATATCCGACATCAAGAAGGACTGTGTAAAACTTTTACTGATTGAGCTGGCTAAGTCCTGAAGAACCTCGATCCATGACAATTTTGGTAGAAGTTACCTTTGCATTGTTCATGTGGAGACAAAGTCATTTCTTCACACCGAGTCTATTTTCCATTGTGTTTTGTGCATTATCAAATGCTAAATGGGATGGATTTGGAACAGATCTGGGAGCTGAAAACTGTACATGAATGAGCAGCTGTGAGCTATCAGCAGTAGAATTGTAATCAACTATAATCTAAAACATTATGGTCTGGCATATCATTCATTGTATTGGTATCAAACTGTGGGATGAATTCTGGTTTAGCCAACGGACCTTGAAGGTCTACCTGAACAGGCAAACCAGACATCAGATGACTCTTCTAACAGTGCAGCACTCACTCGATTCAACTTAAATCATATGTTCCAGTCCTGCAGTGGGCCAGGAACTTTTGACCAAGAGGCAAAGGTGCACTAGATTGACATATGGATAATACATAACTCGAAAGAACATTAACACTAGTCCTGCCTAATATTCTGTTTGTTTGTCTTTTTGTTTGTAACAGCTGCTTAAATAACAGCACAACAAAGGAACATCAAACTGGAAACAGTAAAGAAAAAGTATATTCCATCAAACTGTCCTCTTTACCACATCACCCCACACAGGTGCTTTTACCAACAAGACTTTTTCATCTTTAGTTAAAATATATATTGTATGGTAGCCTTTGGAAATAAGGTAAATTTATTAGAAGTTAAGACAAGTGGTCTAATGACTCAATGCATAAATGTATTGCTTATCTTGGTGGAAGGCAGAGGTGTAGCAGTGACGCAATTGAGTTTGTAATCCAGACCAATAATGTGGGGACTTGGGTTCAAACCTCACCATGGTAGATGGTGAAATTTGAATTCAATAAAAAAGTCTGTCATTCAAAACTAGCTTAATGGTGACCATGTAACTACTGTTGATGGTTGTGAAAACCCATCTGGTTCCCTGTAGGTAAGAAAATCTGTCAGCCTTATCTAGTCTGGCCTACATGTGCTTCCCAGTCCCACAGCAATGTGGCTGATTCTTAACTGCCCTCCGAAAGGGCCTTATCAATCTGTTCAAAGACGGTTTGGGATAGGTAACAAATGCTGGCCTTCTATTCATGTGACGCCCACATCCCATGAATAAATAGAAGAAAACTTTAGTGTAATATTGAGCATATAATCATCATAAAGATCCTACATTCAATTCCTAGTTAGCCCATTCCTGCTCAGGCAATCCATTAACAGATTGCCATGCACTTCTAAACAAGTTGTCAACTTATGAATTATTATCAAATCCATGTTCCAAGCCATTCTGTTTCATTTCAAAACACTATGTATGCATTGTAGTTAATGGGCTCATTTTCTGACTATTTTTCCATTAGCTCATAAGAAGCTAAGAAAGAGGAATAAGCCAAACATCCCCTCGAGTCTGCTGCAACACTTAATAGGATTCACACTGATCCTGAACCTTAATTCTCATCTGATTCCCATATCCTTCGACTCACTCAGAATCTGAAAATGTTTCTCCGTCAGTCTTCAATATACTCAGTGATGAAACATCTACAGCCCTAAGGGGATCAAAATTCCAAAAATTCAAATCCTTTTGGGAGAAGAAATTTCTCCTCAACTCAGTCCTAAATCATAGAATCCCTACTGTGTGGAAGCAGTCTATTCAGCCCATTGAGTCCACACCGACCCTCCAAAAAGCATCCCAACCAGACTCACACCCTGTTACCCTGCATTTCCCATGGCTAATCCACTTAGTTTGCACATCCCTGAACACTATGGGCAATTTAGCGTGGCCTATCCACGTAACTTACACATCTTTGGACTCTGGGAGGAAACTGGAGTACCAAGAGGAAACCCACACAGAAACAGGGAGAAAGTGCAAACTCCACACAGACAGTTACCCGGAGACTAGAATTGAACCTGGGTCCGCTACGAATTGCTGAGCCAGCGTGCTGCCCTCAGCATTGAGATTATGCCCTTGTGTACTAGAACTTCCAGCTGGGGAAAAAAAGTCTCTTGCCATTAACACTGTCAGATCCCTACTAAAACCTTATGTATTCTTCCACTCTGTTCTTATAATCTATGCTACAACTGATAAAGGCAAGTGTCCTGTATGCCTTTTTAATGCCATATTAACCTGAACTGCTGCCTTCATGGATCTGCAGACAAGTACCCCAAGATCCTCTGTTCCTCTGAGCTTCCTAGTGTCTAGCCATTCATTGAGTACTCCCTTGTCTTGCTACTTGTTCCAAAGTGCATCATTTCACACTTTTCAGGATTAAATCCCATATAACACTGACTTGCCTATCTGATCATTCCATCCATATCTTCCTGTAACCTAAAGCTTTTCTCTTCACTGCCCAGTCATTCTTTGTGTCATCAACAAACTTAACTATCATTCCACTACACACCCCCTCCCCACCTCCATATTATCAATTCTATTGTTTGTACATAATCACAAACAATAAGGGACCCAGCACTGATCCTTCTGGTATGCCACTGCACACTGGCCTCCAGCGACACAAACAGCCTTCTATCACCACAATCTATCTCCTACCACTAAATCAATTTTGGATCCATCTTGTCAAGTTATCCTGGATCCCATGTGCATTTACCTTCTTTATGCATTTCCCATGTTGACTTTTTCAACAAAATTCCTTGACATCTACATAAATTACATCAACTGCACTATCCTCATCTACATACCTGATCCCCTCCTCAAAACATTCAATCAAATTTGCAAGGCATGACCTCCCTCTGACAAAACCATGCTGACATTCCCTGATCAAATCTTGTCTCTCCAAGTGGAAATTAATTCTCCTCTTCAGAATGATCTCAAGGCTCAGAGTCTGAATCACTATGCCTCAACTTTACTTCTCCTTTGAAAAGCATGGAGAAACATTTTGTTTCTTTCAAATCTTCAAAGACATAGTAGCCTGAATTAACAAATGCTGGTTGTGAGCTATTGCAGTAAAAGCCAGAAACTGGTCACAGAAAATAGGTAGAAGTTTCATACTGGAGTAATGTATTAATTTGCAAATATGTGCACCCTGGATATGACTTTCCATCAAATAAAATGCCAGATAAAAATCAGCAAATCCGATGTAAATATGCAATGAGGGTCCAGGGTTGCGAGGCAGTAACAAATAAATGAAAGATCTATTAGGAGGAAGCTTTTTTTAACATGGTTTTTCTGTTCGTACTTGGTTTTCTTGATGCTGTACACATTGTTGCATTTTTGCATTCAACACTCATAATTTTCCTTAGGCGGAAGCCAACAAAGGGAGGCTAGGTAGGTAGGGCTAGACAAGTACTCACACACACCTGTACATAAGAACATAACAAAAAGGAACAGAAGAAGGGCCCTCATTCAACAGGATCATGGCTGACCTGCCCCAGCCCTCAACTTCTCTTTCCTGCTGCCTCAGCATAGCTATTAACTCCCTAATATTTCAAAAAGCTACCTAGCTCCTCTTTAAATACTTTCAATGGTCTAGTTTCCACAACTCTCTGGGGGAGAGAATTCCAGAGATTCACTACAATCTGGCAGAAGAAAATCCTTCACTTCTCAGTTTTGATTGAGTGTCCCCTTTTTATGTAACTATGTCCCCTAGTTTGAGATTCTCCCACACAAGTGGAAACACCTTCTCAACATTTACGCTAACAAGGCCCACCGAATCTTGCAGCAATTTACTGAAGATCCTTAGACAGCACTTTCCAAATCCAAGACCCTTTTTATCTAGAAGTATAAGATGACCAGATACATGCAAACACCACCACCTGCAAATTCCCCTCCAAGCCAGTCACCAACCAGACTTGGAATTATATCGCCGTTCCATCCTTGTTGCTGAGTCAAAATCTTGGAATTCCTTCCCTAATAGCATTGTGGGTCTACCTACAGCACATAGACAGCAACAGTTCAAGAAAGCAGCTCACCACCACCTTCTCAAGGAATGGGCATTAAATGCTGGCCCAGCCAGCAATGTCCACATCTCATGAGTGAATAAAAAAAGTTTATGGTCATATAGTCTTATAAATTACAGGCCTTTGTGGTTGAATATGCTATAGTATGATATTAACATTACAAATTACAGTCAATGTTGAAACAAAGGTGTTTAAGTATGTATGCGAACAGGAAGTTGTGCCAAATGGAAGATGGCCTATCTTAATTTGTCTTTGCCTTTGTTCTTCTAAAGGATCTTGGAACAAAATATTTTGAGGTGAAAGTAAGATCCAAATGAGTTGCCTCTGATATTTCAACATAGCTCCACACCCTCCAATTTCAGCCATCCAGAGTCAAAACCTGGCAGCTGACTTATCCCTGTAAACAGGTTAATTTGTTTTAAAAGTTTAATGTATCAACAGGTGAACATGTTAAAGACCATCAGCTTTGAAAGAACTAGCTCACCCACAACATGCTAAGGCTGGATACTGTTGTTATTAAAGCTGAGGCTCAAAGGAGAAAATTCAAAGTACTGGGCAGCTGAGGAGCAAATGGATAATACACAGATATTGTCAATTCCTCTGTGGTGCTGTGTGTGAGAAATAGTCCAAAACAGTAGTGCTATATTCCCATTCCCAAACTCCATTAATAATTCCTGATCCATGTTAAGGATACCAATCCTTGAAGGTCCATGTATGTGCACAGCGAGGTTAAAAAAAAACAGTGCATTAAAACAATGTTTTATTGTTTAAAAAAAACATCTTTGACTATTTTATAAAAATATTAAACTATGGAAGAAAGGCTGTTTGGGTGAGTGAAGAGTCAGAGGTGGCGTGATGTAACCTCAAGGATTTGTCCAACCAGATGTAGTAACTCTAGCTACAATTCTTGCTCTTAAGATTCTCACTGACGCATTGTCAACATGCTAACTGTAATCAGTCTGTTTTTCCACTAGGTGTTTGTTACTTGCAATGTCCAGTTATGCACCAATGCGTATAATTCCACATCATGTACCCTGGGATGTGGTTCTGACAATAATTCACAAATGGAACATTCGGACATGCAGCAAGTCAGTGCAGGACCCATTCACATCAAAAAGGAGAGTGACTCTGGTGAGAATTAAAGTGTTTAGGATCAATTGTTTCCCATGCTCCATCAAAGTTTAATTGCCTCCTCTTCTGAGCATTGCTGGCTCCTTGCTGAAGTATATTTCCTCAGGCACTCAGCCTGCTAAAGTGGCCATTATTCACACACAAGCCTTGATGGTAAATACAAATCAGCTATGCATATAGCTATGTACGCTGCTGGCCTGTATCCTGTTAGCTATATGCCTGACACTCTCACACTTTCAATTCTATTTGGAGTCCTGCATATCAGTGAGAATCAGGACCCAGGCCCTGGAATGCCAAAAGCCAGCTGTAACATACCACGTAAAAACAGAAAGATGCTGGAAATGCTCAGTAGATTAGACAGAGTAAAAGTTTTGGGTCTGTGCATATAATTAACTAAACTGGTCATCTTAGCTGAAGTCAGTTTTTTTTTCAGGTTTCAAACATGCAACTTACCTGATCAGCATCATACCAGGGAGTGCATTTGGCAGTAAGAGCTAGGGTAGGGCTTGCCCTAAATATCTTCCAAAGTTTCTTGGAAGAATAAAGAACATTGTTCATAGGATATGACTCACACATCTCACTGTCCAAGATTAATCCACATTGGTAATCTCCTCAAGTCTGGTGCTGTTGAGTTGAGTTCTGCTATTTTATCATCATACTAGACAGATATAGATTTGCTTCAACAAAAGGAGAAGTACTTCAGAGGATATAGTTTTCCTACATTCAGCATCTCAGCTAAAACAGCTGACCTACAAATTGAGTGAGCTTCATTGCGCAGTGTCTGAGTGTTATTTGATGGGTTGAATGAATTTGCCAATTTGCATAAGTACTGTACATAAGTGACATTCCATGTGACTACGACAAAGATAAATTAGCATTCCTTGTCCTCAACCTGTCTACACCCTTTGACAGAGGTGGTCACACCAGCCTGGAATGTCCTCACCTAGTTCCATTCTTACCTAATGAATCATAACAAGAGCTTGATTTGCAAATTGCATTTCTTCCCATTCACACACCACCACTCTGATCCTTCAAGGATCTATTTTGGATCCCGCCTCTTTATCACATACATGCTGCACGTTGGCAGCATCAACCAAAAGTACAGCATGTACTTTCATGTACGTGCTGAAGACACTCAGCTCTACATCATTACCAGCACCTTCCTTAATTCCAGTGCTTTTGTTAAATTATCAAACTAGATGAATATACAATTTCCTCAACTAGGTATTAGGAAAACGAAAGCCACTGTCTTCTTCCCTAAATACCAACTCAATTCCTCTCCATAGCAACTGTCTAAGGTTCAGACAGACTGTGTTGAATTTTACCCCAAGTGGCACAAATCTGCATCATTACTAAGGCCATACTAAGACAATAAGTGAAAAGGGAATCAAAAGATTAAAAATAAACTTTTTACAACTTTGTATGTGAAAAGTGACAATAGATAATAACATATTATCCTTCAAATTTGAGAATGCATTCCAAGATGATGGGACTGCCTTTCTGTATAAGCTATAATTGAAATTAGTTTGGATAATTTCATTGAATGGATATAGTGCTTTCACTAATTTGACAATTATGTCTCCTCCATGTGGGTCAAATACATGACTGCTGTGTGACATGAAGATGTCACACCAATTTGTCGAGTTGACAGAATTTGAAATCCTGCAAGTATGCAAATTCCAATCCATAGCCAAGTGTCTGGATTTCACATTTAGAATTGATACATTTTCCAAATCCACAATGGGGCACGAGATAGGGAGACAGGAGAGGGAAACCCAGTTTGAATCCCTACCATCACATCTTGTAACCACTATAATCGGTTTTCTTTCCAAATGTATTTCTATTTGTTCAGCGTGCACGCTTTACTAATTTTGAAACAGACTTCACTCCTCTGAAAAAGGATTGTGTCAGCGTTATGATTAGTTGACGAGGTCATAGCTTGTCAATATGCTGTCAAAAAGCTATGGAATTTAATTAGTTTTCTTTTTAATCTAAGGTCCTAATTATGCTACTATCACAGTTGGCCTAGCCTTGGGAGGCACCGTGGTCTATGTTGTTCTCATCTTGTTGAAGAGATCATTTGTGGGACTACACTACAGAGGTGTTACTAGACATTCTGCTCGGATCAGATCATTTTGATGAAAGAAACTGAACACAGAAGCAGTGAAACGTACCTGTTTGACATCTGTTCATTGGTTCTCACCTCCTACAACTCCCTCTGCTGGCAATTAGAGGCCTCACAACCTGCACTGGGCGATGTCATAATCACTTTTGCTCACTTTGGATTTGGAATGGATTTGCATTTTACTTTCAGGGTCTGAACTCCATTTTTATATTTTTCCACAAGTGTAAAAGTAAATCTTCACAACGTAGTAATCTTTTTGCTACTTGAATCTATTTACAATTCATGTTGCATACTGAGCTGCTTCAGGGTCTGAAATCTTGCTTACACTCATTAGTTGAAAATCCTGTTCTACTGTTTCTTGTGAAAGTACAGTAGATCTCTCACCCAGATTCACACACAAACACAACAGAAAATGTACTGGCCATTGCTGTAATGTGGAAACGTGCTCTCAATAAATCGGTTGCACATTTCCAACTTTGCCCAAATTTTAGAACTACTTTGGCTATAAAAGGACCATCTTTTGGAAAGGTACTATCTTATTTTGTTACATAAAAAATAACTGAAACCAGATAGAGCACTTGATGTTAAGCTAGGCAATGGAAATGATAACTGCAAACCAAGTCCAATTGACTCTGCAATCCTCCTTACTAACAAAGAACAAAAGAACAGTACAGCACAGGAACAGGCCCTTTGGCCCAAAAAGCCTGTGCCAGCACTGTTCTAAACTAAAAACCTTTTGCCTCTATACTGTTCAAATCCCTGTATTCCTTGCCTATTCACGTATCTGTCAAGATGTCTCTTAAATGTCGCTATTGTATCCTGCTTCTACCACTTCCACTGGCAGCGCATTCCAGGCACCTACCACTCTCTGTTTTAAAAAAAAAACTGCCTTTCACATTACCTTTAAACTTTTCTACTTTTACCTTAAACCAATGTCTCCTCGTAATCGACATTTCTACCCTGGGAAAAAGACTCCGACTATCCAGACTTTCTTAATTTTGCAAACTTCTATCAGGTAGCCCCTCAGCCTCTGACGCTCAGGTGAAAACAAACCAAGTTTGGCCAATCTCTCCTGACAGCTAGTACTCTCCAAACCAGGCAACATCCTGGTAAACCATTTCTGTACCCTCTCCAAAGCTGCCGCAAACTTCTGGCAGTGTGACAACCAGAACTGTACACCATATTCCAAATGTGGCCTAACTATAGTTCTATATAGCTGCAACATGACTTGCCAATTTTCATTCTCTATGCCTTGACAAATATAGGCAAGTGCGCCATATGCCTTCTTGACCACCTTATCCACTTGTGTTGCCACTTTCAGAGAACTGTGGACCAAAACATCGAGATCCCTCTATATGTTAATGCTTCTCAGGGTTCTGCCATTGACTGGATCCCTCCTGCATTAGACCTCCAAAAATGCATCACCTCACATTTGTCTGGACTAAACTCCATCTGCCATTTCTCTGTGCAAGTCTCCTGCCTATCTATAACCTGCTGCATCCTCTAGCAATTCTCCTCATGATTTGCAGCTCCCCCAATCTTTGTGTCATCTGCAAATTTTCTAATCAGGCCACCTGCATTCTCCTCCAAAACACTGATATATACACAAACCACCTGGGTCCCAGCACTGATCTCTGTGGAACACCACCAGTAACAGATCTCCAATCAGAAAAACAACCTTCCACTGTTACTCCATTCTGCAATGACTAAGCCAGTTCTGTGTCCACCTTACCAGCCTTTGGATCCCATTTGACTTCACCTTCTGTATCAGCCTGCCATGAAGGACCATTTCAAAGGCATTGCTGAAGTCCATATAGACAACATCCACCACCCTGCCCTCTTCAATCATCTTTGTCACTTCCTCAAAACACTTACATTTGTGAGACATAACCTCCCCCACACAAAGCCATGCTGCTTATGACTAGTATGTCCATATTTTCCCAGATATGAGTAAATCCTATCCCTAAGAACCTTCTCCAATAATTTCCCCATCACTGATGTAAGGCTCACCAGCTTGAAATTTCTCACATTATCCCTGTTGCCTTTCTTAAACAAAGGAACAACATTGGCTATTCTCCAGTCCTCTGGGACCACTCCCATGACTAAAAAAATCACAAAGGTTTCATACAAGGCCCCAGCAATTTACTTCCTCGCCTGCCTCAGTATACTGGGATAGATCCCATCAGGTCCTGGGGATTTGTCTACCTTAATGCTTTTTAAAGCACCCAATACCTCCTCCTTATTTATATTGACATGTTTTAGAATATTATTGCCCCTCTTTACTCCCACATATCCTCTCGTGTCAAAATTTTAAGAGCTGTCCCATAGATTATTTAAGTAACAGTCTGACAAAGCCGTACACACAGAATCGCATTTTGTCATGTCCCATATATCATCAGCTTACCTGGATATACACTGTCCCATGAGCAGGAAAGACTCACTAAGGGTGACAGCACAGTAGTACACAATCAGGAGGGGGTTTCCCTGTCAGTCTGCAACATTGTCTCCAGAACCATGAGGTCTCATGTCATCATTTCAAAAATGGGCCAACCACTCCAGCTAATGAGGCATTACTCCTCCATATTAAATACTAATCAGAAGAAGCACAAAAGGCTCAAAAGGTACACTGGGTGGGGAATTACAATATCTACAACTAAGAGTGACATGGCAGCACCATTGCTGTCCAACTTAGCTAAGTTGTAAAGGACATAAGACATAACTGCTAGAATGAGTTTGCAGCAAGTATTAAGGAAATCATGAGATTAGGCATGCTTTTCCCTATTCATTTTCACAAATCTACCATGACAGTGTTGGTAGGAGATGCCATCTAACATTCATAATGAAGATACCATCCATTTGTGTTGTGTGGAAGTACCATCATACTCAATGGAATAGATTTTTGAATAGATCTCTGACATCATAAATCTGGGTAAGAGACACTGTGGGCCATCAGCAGCAGAATTGTATCCAACCACTGTCTGTAACCTAATGATTTGGTATAGCACCATGCTACTTTTTCTATCAAGTTTGGGAATCAACCCTAGCTTAATGAAGATAGTGGTGCCAGTAACAACACCAGCATACCTAAAATGAGGCATCAACCTGCAGAAACTACAGCATAGGGCTACTTGCACGCCAAACAGTGAAAGCAGCAGGCAACAGGTAGGGCTAAGTGATCCCACAACCAACACTTCAGAGCTAAGCTCTGCATTCCTGCCACAACCAGTTATGAATAGTGCTGGACAATTAAATATCTAACAAAGTGACGAGACTCCATGAACATTCTGATCATCAATGATGGGTAAGCCCAGCAAATCAGTGCAAAAAACAAGGCTAAAGCATTTGCAACAATCTTCAGCCAAGTGTTTGATCCATCTCAGCCTTGTCCCAAGGTCTCCAGCATCACAGATTGCAGTCTTCAGCCAATCTGATTCACTCTGTGAGATCAAAGGCTATAGGCTGCCAACAAAATTCTAGCAATAGTACTTAAGCCTTGTGCTCCAGAACATGCCACAACCCTAGCAAACCAGTATAGCTACAACACAGACATTTACCCAGTGATACGGAAAATTGGTCAGGTATGTCCTGTGCACAAAAGCCAGGATAAATCCAATTCAAACAATTACTGTACAATCAGTCCACTGTCAATTGCACAGCATAAAACTGCATACTGATGCTCAGTTGCATTCTGCTTGGGCTATACAGATCCTGACCTCACTACAGCCTTGGTCCAAACACGGACAAAAGAGCTGAACTCCAGAGGTGAGTTGAGTGACTGCCCTTGACATCAAAGCATTTTACAGTGTGTAGCATCAAGGAATCTGTCAACAATAGTGTCAATAGGAATCAGCGGAAAACTCTGCTGGTCGGTGATGTACCTAGCACAAAGGAAGATGGTTGTGGTTGTCTTCAGTGCAAGGATGTTACTCCAAGAGTTTGTCAGAGAAGATATTTTCTAATGAACCTGTTCAGAGGCGTCATCACATACTACTGGAGCAAGTGGGACTTGAACCCTGTCCAGAAACAGAGACACTATCGCTGCATTACAGGGTCTTGTCCTAGGCGCAACCTTATTCAGCTGATTATCATCAAGCATATTCACTGATGATTGCTCACTGTTCAGCATCATTCACAACTCCTCAGATACTGTAGCACCCCCTGTCATCATCCAAGGGTGTTATCCAGGTACATAGTTCCTTGGAAGTAGTGTCACAGGTAAACAAGGTAGTGAAGAAACCATTTGGCATGCTTGCCTTCATCGGTCAGAACATCGAGTACAGGAGTTGAGACATTGGTAAGGCCACATTTGGAGTACTGCATACAATTCTGGTCACTGTGCTATAAGAAAAATGTCATTAAACTGGAAAGGGTGCATAAAAGGATGTTAATAAGACTGGAGGGTCTGAGTTACAAGGAGAGGCTGGATTGGCTGGGACTTTTTCCCCTGGAGCATTGGAGGCTGAGGAGTGATTTTATAGAGGTTTATAAAATCATGGGGTGGCATGGATAGGGTAAATAGTCAAGGTCTTCTCCCCAGAATAAGGAAGTCCAAACCTAGAGGGCATAGGTTTAAGATGAAATGGGAAAGATTTAAAAGGGACCTGAGGGATAACTTCTTCAGACAGAGGGTGGATTGTATATGGAATGAGCTGCCAGAGGAAGTGATAGTGGCTGGTATAATTACAACATTTAAAATGCATCTGGACGGGTATATGGATACAAAAGGTTTAGAGGGACATGGGCCAAATGCTGACAAATGGGACCAGTTCAGTTTAGGAATCCTGGTCGGCATGGACGGGTTGGGCCAAAGGGCCTGTTTCCATGCTGCATACCTCTATGACTTTAGGTGCAGCTCCAACAACACTCAAGTAGCTTGACATGATTCAGGACAAAGCAGCCTGCTTGCTTGGCACCCATCCTCCACCTTCAGAATTCTTGCTTTGCATCACTGACTGTGGCAGCAATGAATACCTTCTACTGTAGCAACTCACCACGGTTCATTTGACAGGCACCTTCCAAATCTCCAATCTCTATTACCTGGAAGTAAAAGAGCTTCAAATAACGACCAACTGGAAGGTCGACTCTAAGCCACACATTATGCTGACTTGAAACAACATTACTGTTTCATTATTGATACTGAGTTAAAATTGTGGAACAGTCTTCCTACACCCCAAAGACTGCAGTGATTCAGAATGGCAGTCATCATCAAGTTCTCAATTGGGGATGGGCAATAAGTGATGTCCTGGCCAATGATTCCCACATCCCATAAATAAATTTTGAAAAATGTTTTGGCAAGTAGATTAGACTTCTAATTTCTCAATCTTCCTGCAAACAATGCTGTTCAATTACTGTGTTCCATCAGATACTGTATCAGCCTTATTCAATCAACATTTGCTGCACTCCAACTTTTAACCATACTAATACAATCCTGGTACTATTGTTACGATAATGGCATTTATTTAACACCATTAACATGGTGAAGCGTATCATGCTATTGTGTAAAAATTAATTGATATCAAAGCTAAGAAGAACAAGTCTTGTGAGATCTGTGATAGTCACTACCTTAGAACCAAAACGGTTATGAACATTTGTGCCTGCAATTCTCCAACTAATGAAATTTTGTTCCAAACTCTTGTTACCCTGGAGAGATATCAAGTAGAAACTAAATGCTCTTCACAAGAATGGGGAAAGGATTAGTGATTCAGTTACTAAATGTCACTGATTTTTGTTCCACCAGTTATAGCAACAGTATAATTGGTAGGAAATCTACTAAGAAGTGTAACATAGTATGATATCTGAACCATAAATAGAATTAAATTACAGATTTAGATTTGTGAAATGTAGGTGTCACGCTGAGTTGAGAAAAAAAAGGTTGGTGTTGTGCGCATTAACCTAGATACTAGCTATAAACCAATTTATAAAAATCATCCCTTGCAAGTTCTGAAAATACATAACACAAAGGAAATGTCTTTACCCATTACTGGGCAGCCATTGTTTAAAATTAGATCTCCATTTTCGAAACATAGATCAATTGGTTCAAATTTAGTGTCAAGTTGAAAATAGGAAAGCTAAAAATGAGATCTCATTCAGTTAGATGCTGACATGTGCGGTGGAGTGTGAAATGTGGCCTCCACAGCAGGGATTATACCATTGCAATCAAATTGTATCTTAATCACACTGCAGTTGAACTGAACAGTTACAATTGAAGTTGTGCAACAACTTGAATGCCATTAAGTTAAAGCAGTTTAAATGGATGATATTGGAAGCCCCAAGATAGAGTTTGGTGATATTTTACTTTCAAACTACTATTGTTTCAAAGTTTGACAACTGAAAATATTAATCTGCACCTATGCATTTTAGTGATAAATGGCACCAAGTGAAACCAAAGATAACTGCTACTGTTTCTCTGTAGTTTCTAGGCCCAGAAATAAAAAGTCTCATCTACACAGAATTTATTTACAAAATTTTCTTTATAAGTAATGTTAAAAAAAATCCAATAAAATGTAATAGAAAAATTAACCACTTAAAACAGAACAGTTGTTAAAACTGAAAGGATCAGAAGTGAAGTTGGTGGCATGTGACCAATGTACGTCCTAGATTTCTATCTGTAATACTCTATATTCAAATTCAACTTCAACATGTGTAGCCCTTTTCTGAGATGCATCATTTTTGTAAGATAAATGTTAGTAGCTGGTAACTCAAAAATTCTTTTGCATTTTTGTCAAATTAGCTGTTTTATTTTTGCTTCCTTACACTTCTGGATTTTGATATAGTTTAATTATAATCAATTGACTCTGAGGAAGAAATTTCTTAGATCTGCTATCATTTTGATGCAAGTCCTAAGAAATCCTGTGTTATCAGAAAAGTAACATGATGTGGGGATAAATGCAAGGAAATTTCTGCCCACTTCAATAATACTGATTTTGGTTCACCCAACCAGCTGCATTTTGGAAATTACTATATTGTACAAGTGAAAGGAATCACTAATACACTTTTTAAGGAATGAGACATCTTGAAAGACAATCTTGCACATATAAAATGAATGGCTGACTGAGATTGAGTATAAAGGTGTCATTAAATAGTCCAAATTACACCCAATATTATACTGAAATCCTGATCAGAAAAGTACCACCAAGACAGCGGTAGCACTTGCTGTGTTCTCCTTTGAACTGCACTCAGAAATGTCTAACTTCACCACCCTCTAGCACCCAGTTTAGCCCATAAAATAATTCCTCCACCACCACTACTACTATTCTCTTTTGAAAGCACTGATACAGCCTTGGTTCCACTGGCAGCAGTACCCATCACTCTCTGCCTTACCGTGTTATGTTCAAATGTACGTCCATTTTTAACTTCAGGAAGAGGACCAAGTCCAATATCATTGATAGCAATTATGAAGAAACATGAAGAATATAGGATCTGCAATTCAGTTTTATCTGCTCTACAACAGGCTGTTGGGGCAAAACACAGCACAACTAGCTAACCTTACTAAGATGACTAATAGAACAAAGACCATAAGATGTAGGAGGACAAATAGATGCTTCAGCCTAACGAGTCAGCTCTGTATTCAGTGAGATCATGGCTTACCTGATAATCTTCAATTCCATTTTCCTGTCTTCCCCCCATTATTCTCAATTCCCTTGCTGATTAAAAATCTCTCAATATTGAATATACTTAATGACACAGCCTCAACACTCCCTCTGCAGTAAAGAATTTTATACGGACTACCCCCAGAAGAAATTGCTCTTCATCTTTGTCCAAAATGACCAACCCCTTACTCTGAGAATATGACATCTGGTCCTAGAGTCTCCTACAATGGAAACAACCTCTCCACATCTCAGCAGGTTTGGCAGCATCTGTGGAGAGAAGTCAAAGTTAATATTTCAGGTCCAGTGACCCTTCTTCAGAATGGAAGGTTCTGTTCTTCTAAACTCTACTGAGTACAGGTCCGAACTACTGAACCTCCCCTTAAACAATTCCTCAATACCAGGATCAACTACCTCCAATGCCAGCCCTTAGATAAGAGGACCAAAACTATGCACGGTATTCCAGTTATAGTCTAATTGATCCTTCTTTTTTTGAATAAGACTTACCTACTTTTATATTCATTTCCAATTGCCACCCCATTACCTTCTTAAATTGTATGCTAGCTTTTATCACACATACATGAGGAGTCCCAAAGACCTGTGTGTTGGAGCTTTCTGCACTTTATTTTCCATTAAATATTCAGTTCCTCTATTATTCCGACAAAAGTGCATAAACTCACCTTTTCCCACATCATATTCCATTTGCCCAATTTTTGCTCACTCACCTAACCTGTCTGTATCCCTCTAGAAGACTCTTATCTTCACTACATGCCTTCCCACCTTTTTTGATTCATTCACAAACCTAGTGATAGTTCTCTTCCTGTAATCAAATCATTAATATGTATTTTAAATTTGCCACAGTAATGATCCCTATGGCTAGTTAAGGGTTGCTATCCTGAAAATACCTTCTTTATCCCAACTCTGTCTAATTTGATGAATTAGCCAATTATCTATGCTAATAGACAACCTCCAAAACCACAGGCTCTTACTTTCTTATGTAGCATTATATGCGGCACACTATTCAATATCTCTTGGAATTCCAAATATATTTCATTCACTGCTTCCCCTTTATCTATCCTACATGGTACCCTTAAAAAAATTATAATAAATTTGTCTGACAGGATTCCCTTTCAAGAAGCATGCTGACTCTGCATGACCATGTTATGGATTTCTAAATCCTCTGCGATTCTTACATCCTTTATAACCTCTTAATATTTTCCCAACAACTGTTATTAAACTAACTGGCCTTTCACAAGTTTAACTTGTTACAAAGTCAGGATCCATCCCCAACCTGTCCCCTTGCAGTTTCATCAAAAGATATCAACCCAACTTTCAACTCTAGAGGTATGGACAATTCGTTGGAGTTTTTGCTGCAGCAATGGAGGCTGAGGGGTGATCTCATAGAAGTATATAAAGTTATAAAAGGGCATGGATGGGATGGATAGTTGGAAACTTTTTCCCAGGGTGGCAATGTCAAATACTGGGGCGGGGGAGGGGAGGGGTTGAAGCTTTAAGGTGAGAAGGGAAATGTTTAAAGATGTGCAAGAAAAGTTTTTTCTGTTACACAGAGAGCAATAGGTGCCCGATACGTGCTGCCAGGAGAGGTAGTAGAAACAGATATGATAGCAAAATCTAAGAGGCATTTAGGCAGACACGTGAATGGGCAGAGAATAAAGGGATAGGGACCATGTGCAGGCAGATGGGGTTAGTTTGGAATAGCGCCATGGTTGGCATAGAATTGTGGGCTGAACGGCCAGCTCCTATACTGTACTGTTGTATATTCTAATGCAAATAATTAAACTAGACAGACCATAGGAAGGGACGATAATTTAAATACCAGTAATTTATTTTATACAAACTTTTACACAGACAAAAAAATGAATCAGATAAATCAATAGATTGGACCCCTCCACCTACCAACACATATGCTCTTATTTTTGTTGTAATAGTAAGGACCTCAAAGTTGATGTACATCAACCTGCCCAGGGCTTCATCTCTCAAAGTCTGACAGTATTCTAATAGCACAAACAGGCAAACAAATTTACTTTCTTTTATTCACTTCCTTTAGAACATTAAGCATTTTTTCAAAATAATTTTAAAATACTAAGAGTTTCACATTGGTTAATAGACACAATACTGGTGCAATACTGAAGGTTTCTAAGACACCCAGGCTTTCTTTTGGAGGGAATGAAAGCAAAGAGAGGGTTTTTAGAATTCTATGAAATCAAAAGCTTCAACAAACAGTAAATCCTCCAACAAAGTATCCCCAAGTTGCCTAAAGAACAAAATATCCTGTCTAGAGAACCTTTCATTATGTCAGGTTATTTCACTGTTGCAGCAATATTAGCAAATGGAGGCTTTCAGATTTTCTCTATTCATGGTCATAGGAGCTATCCAACTCAGGGAATGTAATTATTACATCACCAGAAAGACTGATAACTTTTAAAAATAATACAAACTTGCAATCAACAGTTGAAAGGATAATATGACAAGATTTCTCATTTTAAGACTTTTCCTGTTACACCAGATTAAAGCACTTCTGACTAAACACTATACATATAGGCAACTTATACATTAAACCACAGAACTATTCCCCTTTTAGTTCTAGCATAACTAAGAAAACACACTCCATAGGTATACTTTAAGCGGTTCTTTTAGTAGACACTGAATTGACCCGGAACAAGACCAAAATGATACCGGCTCCCAAAGACTGACAATAGATTTTTTTCCTTTCCCACCTGGAAACTTTAAACTCCAGAACTGTCTTTCCCGGTGTAAGTTTCTCTGGAGACTTCTTCCCCTGCTAAACTCAGACAAATTTTCCACTTTGCTTTAACTCCTCACAAATTTAGTATTTCCAATCCAAGTACAAACTCCCACCCAAATCTTGTGCAGCAAACCACTGTCTTTAGCCTATAGCTGTTCTCAATTTTCCAGATCTTGGAATACTTACTGGATCTGTAATTTCTCAGGGATATCTTAGAATCCCTCAAACTTTCAAAGCTCATCTCCGTGGTGCCGCAAATTATATTGGCCTTGTATCCAGATATAAATGCCCATGAGCTTTACTTGATGCCCTAATTCCATTTATTTTTAATTGCAATTTAAAGCACCGGTTTTTACAATCCAAAATGCTCAATATTTTTCCGTCTTTGGACAAGGTGTCAATACCTTGCACCCTCTCAGTAAGATCATATTGATTTTGCTTCAGTTCATTTGCAAGAAACTTCAATTTACAACTCCCTTAATTCAAGACATTTATTTGGTCACAGTTAACAAAAGCAGATTCACTGTTAATTAGCTACATATTATTTGTTGTTCAATCTGAAACAACAAAAAAAGTTCACAATCTTGTATTCGCTTGGACATGCATTTGAAATTGAAAGCTTGGCTGACCTCTTTAATGGGACTGAGGTAGTTTTTCAGGGTCTAAGGGTCTGCTTTTGTCTGACATGGTTTGCTGATTTCCTGCTTTTATTATTGGTTGTGGGGAGTTGCCTCTTTGGCGGTTCCACTTCATCAAACTGCTGAGTCCTAATACGATCATGAAATAAAGTGCAATCATTTCCTGTAAAGAAAAGTTCAAAAGGATTTGAGAACAGAAACTGCATATTTCATGTAAAATCTAATGCAACAAGAAGTTCTGAAGAACCAATTTAAACACTAAAGCCACTTGGATACTTAACCCTGTTTTGGTTCTAGTCTCAGGAGTAACTATTTTCCCAACTGCCTACCACCATTTGACTAGATGTGAGTAAGATGAGAAAGCTATGCTCTGGTCCATTTGCTATGGGTTTGTTCAGCTGTCTATAGCTTCTTTTTATACCTGTCTACAGTCAAATATTCTTAAAATTTATATCGTAGGTAGTTTAGTGTTACAATTTTATCGAGTCAGCTCCCTTATTCTAAGGTAAGCCTGGTGCTGTTTGTGGAACCTCCATCGAAGCTCTCCACTATGGAGTCAGGGTTGGTCTCCCAGACTGCTGCTGATGCAGTAGAGAAGGAGTTATTGGGCCGTAAGTTTACAGATCGAAGCAGTGTATAATTGCGTTGCTGTGAATCATATGTACTTAAATCAATTCCGAGTTTCAAGCTTCTAGATCTGCCGACAGTCTATCCTATTAGCATCAAAAACAAAGTTGCTGGAAAAGCTCAGCAGGTCTGGCAGCATCTGT